ACCAGTCACTTTGGGAAGCCTTAAGCTTTTATTTCAGGACATCACTCTATGGAAATAATTCATTCCTTATCACTTCCCTGTAGTCATGCAGTCAGATAAGGGACTGGCAAGTACTGATGCACATGTTGGGCAGATGAATTTCACAGCTGCTTCCAGGGCACAGAAGGAATTCAGGGATGGCAAAACACACAGTAATACCTGAACAAATCCTGGAAACCACGCAGCAAAGTTAGTTGGTCTATACACAGGAATTTTGGGTGGTACCCTAAGAAGGGTGCCCATAGGGTATGAAGTTTTACCTCCAGGAAACTTGTAAGTACTTGCTTTCTTCATGGAGAATATGCCCACAGGGAAACTCTACAGCTTATATCATCCCATCTCATTACTTTTACAAGTAGAAGAACCCACCAGAAGGATTTTACCTGTGCAGGTCCCTTTGTCTTGTGTTTTCCTGCCCTGATTTCACTTAAGGAAAGGAGAGTTTGTTTTCTTTTCTTAAGTGAGCCCAAAATGCTATCCAGAATCAGACTGTGCTTGCAAGTGAGGCCAGAATATAACCCATCTTTTATATTAATGCCCTTGGGGGCTGAAATGGCATTATTTTAAACTGCAGAGAGGTATATCAGTATGATAGTTGTGGATTGCAGAATGGACTTGTTTTACAATAACCCCCATAGTCGTAACCAGAGCTTCAGTGTGCTGAACACATGAGCCCATCTGTGCTAGGTGCCTGCAGGCAGTGGGAGCCCACCAGAGCTGCCCATGGGCAAGAAAAGGCAGGAGCAGGTACAGGCACGAGCAGCGACAGAGTTGGCGCATGTTTATCATTCTACTGTGCAGCTCAAAGGAAAAAAACTATCAGTAACTCTAGTAGGCTGTCTGACTAGGTCTGTATGGAAACGAGTAAAAGGCTGTCAAGAGAAAGGCAGAAGGGCAGGAGGAGGGTCTGTTGGGGAGCTGTAGGAACACTAGTTAAACCTAGCACATCTTTGGCTTGGCATGGCCTCTGGCCACCTGGAATTTCTTTCTTACCCTGGTGTCTGCCCAGTCAAGTAGATACGAGGTGTCCTCGGGCTCTCTGGTGAGTCACCTGCAGGTCCTGGCCCAGCATGTAACCAACACTCACTGCAGGGCACCCAGCCAGAGGAGCAGTGCAGGGTGATGCCTCAGGGTGGTGAGCTGATGAAAATTAAGCTGGTGTAGGTATGGCTTAGTATATGTGAGTAACTGTTGAAGCATAAATTCATGCTCATCTCTTAGCTTCTCTCTTAACCTTGTGCTTCCCAAGCATGAGCCCTGTCCCATGGGCTGGGCTTTAACAGTGTAAATGCTAGCCAGGTTAGGGGTGGATCCCCAGGTTTAGACCTTGGGCTGAACATGTTGCGTGGACACCACCTTAGCACTCGACTACATGTGTTCAGGTTTCCGCCTCAGCAGGTATAACTCATAAACAGACAGCCAAGCAGGCAGTGGTAAGCAAGCATGTGCAGAGTCTTTCCCAACCAGTGACCCTTTGCCAAAGTAAATTACCTTCAGTTGTCATTTAAATGAGAATAAGCTTCACTGATTACTTTTTGCATAATCATTCAGAATGAAAACAGATGTTCCTCAGCCCATGTTTAAAGCTGCAATGCACATTTAAAGGTAGGCAAGTCTTGTTAGTGAATTAGTTTATCTGAAAAAACATATCTGGTAATGGTAATGAGAGTATATTTCTGAATCAGAAACCATTTCCCAAGCTGTTAGACATAGCCATATGCAAATTGCCATTCCAGTAATATTAAAGTTGTCCCAGCATGAGTCAAGCTTTGGTTGTTGTTTTTAAACAGCAACAGTAACTTCCCCTCAGGAAAACTGCTCTGAATCACTGTTAGGTTTGGGTGAGTGTTTTAATAGAATGATTTTCTGGCTTTAATTATTTTAACTTTACTTGCTTGCTACCTTTACATTTCTTGTTGTGACACGTTTTCAATCTACAGCCAGGAATCTGGGTTGCAGTGATATATTAGACTTCAGAAGGAAGCAAGTCACTCTATCTAAATCATCTGAGAAATTCTTTTTTGTTTTCCAGTCTGTTTGAAATTGTCAGGACATCTCCTTTTCCTCCCAGCGTATAGACCTGAAGCATTAGCATCCCCACACATATATGTTGCTTCCTGCTGAAAGAATATTTATAGCATTTCTGACCTTTGAATGAACTTCTACGAATCAATAACAGCAAAGTGGAAAGAAGGTCAGCAGCAGTTTTCCTCTTGACCAAGTGTTGCCAGTGTTAGGCTTGGAATATCTAAGATATATTAGGAACTATATTAGAAACTACCATAACCACATTTATGCAGCATTTTTGCAGGAAATTTTAAGATTTCTTCAGCACTGTTTTAGACTTGCCATCTCAAAGATACAATACAAGATCAAAGCCAGTGGTGTCACTGATGATTTCTAAGTTGTTGTGTATCAATTTTTACATGGCAGAACTTCTACAAGAAACCTTAAGAGACAGTTTAATAATTTTTTTAGCTATAATTTTGCCACAGGGCAAATGTAAGTGAATTAGAAACTGTTCTTGTTAATGGCTTACTGCAATTGAAACACCGTTCATTTAGTCCTGCTCCAGATTGCAGAAATAAAATTGACACAGTCACCCCTAGACGTGTGAGCACAAGCAGCCACGTGAGATGCTTCAAGGCAAGGTTTACCCATTCACAGTCTTCTCCCTACGACCCTACAACTCAAATATTTTAAAGGACTTTATCCTAATTTCTCAAATTTCTGAAGTTCCTTCCAAATTGAAGTGTTCCCATAATGAACTAGACATCTCAATGCTGTTAGCTGCCTCCTTCTTAAGGGGAAATTAATTTCCCTTCATTTCACTGCCTAAAAGCAAAGTTCCTAACTTAATTAAATCCTTTCCTTCTCCAGAGCTGGCACCTCTAGAAAGTGCTTCTTGCACTCTCTTTTGCCTACCATGGGATCCTGGCCAATTAGTTCAGATTGTAACCATAAATTAGAAGCCTAAATTCCGGATGCATTGGGTTAAGTGAGATGAACCCCATTGCTAGGGGTGACAGTAATAGCTCTCACAGAGTGAGAGGTCTTCTACACTCTAATTGAGTGAATTGTTTCAGTCAGGACTGCCATTTATGCCTTTCCATAGAAGTAGCAAAGCAGAGTCTTGCTCTTTGCTGGAGCCTTCTGGTGTTGCTGTAATACACAGGGCTCCTGTTTTCAAATGCAATGTTTTTATTCTAAAAATACCTCTCAAAATAGCTCTATTTTTCTCCAATATTTTCCTGATTGAATTGTCTCCCAATGGAGAGACAATAACTACACTAACCTTCACAAATGTCAAAGAAACTTTTGATAGCAGCTCAAAAGAGTTTTCATAAGTTTCTTTTTCTATGTCTGTGTCATTTGAAGATTGTGTCTGCTCGTTCAGCCAGCCATGCAAATATGTCTAAAAATACAGAGAAAATGAAACAAATTTACTGAAGTTTGACAACTTCTGTTTGATCAAAAGTTGTTTGGTCAAATGTATTTTAAAAGTCAGGAAATAAAGATATTTTTAATGGATGCTATCATACTTATTATTATTATTATTGTTAGGTTCCTGAAGAAGAACAAAGGAAAAGACATTGCCACACAAGTTCTACATGAATTGTTAATGTCAACTTTGAATTTCCTTGTTTTTTCCTAGTTTATAAAACATCCTTAATATAGAATTGTTTTGTCTGAGAATAAATCCTGTGTTTATTCAAATTCTTAGATTCATAGTATTAAAGAATTATTTACTTCCTTTCTCCACATACCTATTTCCCCCTTTTTGCTTCTTTTTCTAATTTCTTTCAAGGACCAATGTACTGCTTCATGTACATCTTCAGTGCTCTTAAACAAAAAGTTGTCTTATCATTTCACTGTTCTCCAGAATTTGCATTCCAGCTTCCAGCACTCTCTAATCAAGTGAATTTTCCTATGTCTTACTCTTATTCCTAACACATTTTGAGTACTTTGAAGAATTCTATAAAGCAGGAGAAAAACTGAAGTCCTAATGTTACAACCTAAGTCAGATCTCAACACTATATTGGCTTCTAACCCATCTGTCTCTAGTATAAAATTAAGACATGTTTGATTGAGACTGAATAACAAAATCAACTGTTTGTTGCACCAATTCAGTAGACAAAATACATTAATAGTAATATTTCTGATGAAATTCTAGTTTATTGGTTCACTAAGGCTCCAGCAAGAAGCTAAAAAGAGTTCATCTGTCAATAGCACATGGATCTGAAAAAGCAACAAGGTTACATGGACAGCAGGACAGATCCATCTGCTTTGGGACTAGCTAGAAACGAAGCCTATGGCACAGTTGGGCGATGACAAGGGAGTTTCAGCTTCTGCTGATTTTTCTGAATCACTGACACTGCCAGTGTCAATGTATGTCAGTGTGGATTACACCACCACCAGCAGTATTGTCCACTCATCATTTCTTCAAAACTGTATGACAAGTGGAACTGCTCATTATTTTTGCTTATCTAAGGCTGGTGAATGCCCTTAAGAGCTACTTCAGTCTGTTTTGTTGTTTTCATGTCAGTGTTTAAAAACCATAGGTCATTCGTCTGTGTGACGAGGTACATGTTGTCTCTTACAATCTGTTTTCTCTCACAGTTTCACCTTACATTTTTAGCAGCTCCTCCATTTGTACAGTCCATGTGGCTTCCTACCTTCACGCTGTAGTGTTTGGGAGGCCAGCTCATTACCTTGATTCCTTAGCTCTTCTGTAGTCCATGCAGATAAGGCTCAGCTGCTTCTTTTCTCACAAATGTCTGCCTACTCCCAGCTACCAAACACCTTGACTGAATCTGCAATCAGTACCAGAACTTGAGCCAGATACTGGAGCTGGTTTAATGTCAAAATAGACCAGTCGTGCGCAGGCAACTTCTCACACATGTCACAAATACAGGAGGATGGGCTGGTCTCACTAAGAACATGCAATTTGGTGATTTCAGAGAATGACGAGGAGCAGGAGGCTCTGCTGTCACTGGACAAGCCTGGCTGGTATTCCCAAGGTAATTCTATCCAGCTCTTTGATCTGCTGAAGAAGATGACTGGCAAGCTGGATCCCAAGGTATGTTTAGAGTAAATCTTTCTGAAAATACTGTTTCAGTCAAGAATTCACCAGACAAGCTTTCATTAAGGTTTTTGATGTGACTGGTAACAAACTCTTGTTCTGGCTAAGCTTACTGCTGTCTAGCAGACTGCAGCCCAGAACTGGAAGTAGCATATTAGTCTTCTTATCAGTAGAATATGTAAAATTTCTGAATGTTTTATTCTGTATGAATGATCACACATTTCGGCAGCTTTAGGAAGAATTGGATTATAATCAGGTAATCTCCCTGGGGAAACAGATTAAATAGATTAAAAGGTGAAAACTAGGATTATGTTATTTAAGTATAGGTCTGGATGGGTGAAAATGCGGCTGAAGATGATGTGACCACATTTTCTGTAGTGAACAAACTCCTCTCTGGACACAGAAGAGTTCTGTGTCACCAAGAGATGCTCCATGTTCTCTCTTGTTTCCAATGTAGTCCAAAACTCGTTCCTGTTTAGTGTATTTTCTTGGTAGTCATTCACCTGCTTCCTGTCAGGCTATTTCTATCAGTCAAAAAACTCAGTGATGTCCCTTGTCCCGGTACCAGTCAGGCATCCCTGTTCCGTGCCCCTGGAGGGCAAAAGTGAGGAGGGTGTTATGAGGCCAGCCTTTCCCTTATGGAGCTGGTAGAAGATAAAACCCCAAACTTGATATTAATAAAATATCTTTGTGTCATGACCAACTGTAAATGTGGGGGAATTTTTATTAGGTTATTTTAAACCTCTTTTTCTCTTTCTGTGAAATACAGTTTGCTTGTGTTTTCCTCATATACAATGAACTTTTAATTTGCTTCTTCCCTTGTAGGTTGTTTATTTTGGTGATAGCATGCACTCAGATATTTTCCCAGCTCGTCACTATAGCAACTGGGAAACTGTCTTCATCTTAGAGGAGCTTCTAGGGGACAAAGCTACAGTGCCTGCAAAGGCTGAATCTGAGCCCTTGGAGAAGAAAGGAAAATATGAGGTAAGGGTTCCTTGCAGATGTTTCCTGGAACAGAATAAAGTTACAAAAAAGCCTCATGCCACCTGCACTGAGAATGAACCTGCTTATCTCACCATGCTGGCAGCATCAGCATCCCCCACAGACATATCCTTCTTGCCTTTCCAGGAAGATGCTGTTCTGTCCCAGCTTAGGCCTTGCATGAGTGACACAGAGCTTCTACTCGGACCTAAGTCATGGATCTCAGCAAAAGAGCTGTGTGTGCTCTCCCTTAGCAACAACCCATAGTCTTCTTTTTAGTAACAAGAACCTGCCCTCCATCCTACAAGGAGAAATTTCATGGACACTTATCACAAGTCCAGCACCTGAATTCTGCTGAGTTCATGACATTTCCCTGTGTGTTGTGGCCAACTGTAAACACAGGGGAATTTTTATTAGATTGTTTTAAAGCTCGCTTTCTTTCTCTGTGAAATACAGCTTGCTTGTGCTTTCCTTGTATACAAAGAACTTCTAATTTGCAGCTTACCTCATAGGTTGTTTATTTTGGTGACAGCTGCACTCAGATAAGAGGGACTGTTTTGAAATTGTTCCAGTGCAAACTGCTGATAGTTACTCCAGATAAATTATGTGACTTTGAGGTTGATCGCAGCTGGGAAGCAGGGCCTTAGCATTACTGCCACCCTTTTATTCTCCCACAGAACTTGAAAAGTTACTATGGTTTATCCTCCTCTCCACTGGCAAAGAACAAAGTAGATAGGGAACAGCGCTCATATGGATGATGTGCCAGCATTGTACCTCCAGCACTGTAGGTAGGAACTGCAGTGCAGCTTCACTCTCTGTTTGGAGCGTTTTAATTTCATATGCTGCTAAATAAATAGGTCATTTTCTTCTAGTTGCAGAGAGATGTATGTGCTTTTTGCTCTTTGCTTTGTAAAGCACTAGGCTTGATTTTTCTGTTAAAATAAGTACTCTTTATGATTAAAATGTTAACTTACTGATAGAAAAAATTTGTGGAGGTAGTTTTATACTAGTTATGTTTTTAATCTGATTAAGAAGTGTTGTAAAAGCCAGTTTTCAATGGAGAAAAGGATATCTTCAATGGGACTAAAACAATATAGATATGATACCTATTGCTCTACTTTTAATAGACATATCTTATATTTTCACCCATTATCCTGATTTCTAAACTAAGGTCAGACAAAGACAGTTCAATCACTGAAATAAGGAAATGTATTCATTGTTGTTTAGGCTTTTTCCTAGGTTGCAGAAAAACAAAAATTAAGACAAAGAAACTCAATCTCCTATCAAGAAAAATGTGTTTCTTGGTAAGAAAGGTCAGAGGCAGGTGGGGGGAAGGAAGAGTTATTAGTAGCACTACATGGGTCAATATAATTTGATTTGAAGAATTAATGCTTTAAAAATAACTCACTCTCCTCCACAATTTTGTTCATTCTCTGACTGGAGATTCTGCTACATTGCTGCATTTTTGTAAGGTTTGTGGGATTTTATTCAACCATGGTTTCTTAAGCATTTAAATGGACAGCCAGAAAATGTTTCTTTTCCTGGAAGTACAAAGAAAGAGTAATTGAGCAATGTGTTTCTAAGCCCATGATGATGATTTGGTTTTCTCATATTGAAACAGCTCTGGTCAACTGCTCACAAGATCCATCTTCTCTATCACATCAGTTATCAAGCAGGAAATTGAGACTTTTAGACATGTGCTTGACATTTCACTGATGCTATAGTATTCCTGTCTCGGGAGACACCACCCCTGCCACACACAGCCCCTGTTCAGTGTACATCCGCTACCAGTGACAGCAAGCAAGCAAGGGAGAAATGAATTGTGTTGATTAAAGGAACCTGAACCAGGGGGGCCATGGCAGGTCAGTGGTGTTATTTCATTACCACGCTGCTCACTGGAGTCTGAACAACAGGTCACATCCATATCTCTGCAGTTGACTGGACACCACTAACTTAATAGGACTAGTTCAAAGGGTCTCCCTTTACAATCCTATGGAAGTTTTATTTTCATTCCCCCAAGCAACTTCTCCCATTAACTCTTTGGTTAGGAAAGGAGAAAAGCCAATTCAAATGAGTGTACGAAGTCAAGTGTTTTTGGCAAATTAGTCACAAACAGATTAGATTTCATCTGATCCATCAGCCTTAGCATTGGCAATAAAAAAATACACTGCTCTGTGTGTGCAGAGAGGGACTGAAAACTTAATACATTACACAATCCTCAATTCTATCACTCTTTATAAAATGCTATTAAAGAAATAAAGTATTACTTTAATTTGCAATTGCATCTTTCAAAAGGAAATTATAAAAATCTGTTTCCAGTTGTTTGACTGGTGTTTCATCACTAAAAGAGGGAGGGGAAGAAAACAACCTTCTCACACACAAATTAGGACTTGTAATTTCCATTTTTATTGGCAGTTTTTGTCTTTTCCCTTCAATTATATGCATGATATAAGCCAGATACACATAACTGTGAAATTATGGTAACAACTACAATTCTTTTAAGTGTATGAGTCGTAACCAAATAAGCAAGAGAATAGCAAATTAAAAACTATTCATGCAATTACTTGGCTCCTAAGTGAATTGCAGCATGCAGGGGGAAAAAAAATATGAAGCATTGTGTTGAAACAAGATTTCCCCCCCTTCCCAGAATCGGGGGTTTGTTTGCTTGACTAGAGGCTTTGGTTTTGCCTTCTGTTCTTTAAATGTGTGATCAATTCCATCAATGAAAACTCAAAGAAAAGCTGGAATTTGTCCCAGGATTTTGAGGGAAATTGTTGCAGAGGAGCTGTAAGAATCTTGGGCTATAGGAATGAACAGAGCAGAAATCAAAGAATTTTTCAGTGCATATAGATGACAATTTTGCAGTTGGAAGGGAGAATTTAATTTTTACAGTATTGCCTAGTGGCTGGTTGGTTGTAGGGGTCAGGGCCCTTATTCCTCTGAATTTCCATTACTCTCTTGTTGTGAGCATAGACAAGGCTATTTACTTTGTGCCTTTTGGCTCTGTTTGTCTCTTTATTCCTGTTTAACACAAATCCAACAGTACTTTCAGGAATAACCTGATGTGCTGTTGTGGAGCCTGGTGAGTTAAAACAATGTCCTTAAGGCAATATGCTGAAGTGCAATGCATTTTATTTTAAGTCTGCTTATAGTGATCTATAGGGTAGTTTAGGTACAATAATCATTGGTGAAATGTTTTATATTAGCACATGACTTGTAAGCGTGCAGGTTCGGTGCAACAGACCAGTGGCTGACTTGTCCATTTGCATACCCAGCATAGGTGTGTTATTTAGGAACACCTGGTTGTTGTGACTAGCACAGCTGTGCTGGCAGCAACATTTCACATACATACCGTTATACCAGCAAAACTGTATTTTGAGCATTGATTTTTTTCTAGCAGGAGTCGCTGATGGTGTTACTACCTTGGCACAAAGCATGCAGCCATCAGTACCATCCATCATATTGGATGCCGTGAAGTATTCCTCATGCTCTGTGCTTGGTACAAAGATGATGGCATAGATGGCAAATCTCCATCTAAATAAAGCCTTTAAAAAATACTAACAGCTTGACTTTTCACTCCTGTCTCCCTTACATCTTCCTTTTATTCATCTCTTTACCAAATGTAGAAAAGCTTCAGAGCTCAGCTCCCTGCCTACTTGTATTTTAGAAAGGTCATTTGTAAGTTGACAACTTAGTGTTACCCAAGGGTCCTATTAACAGATTCTGTCTGCTCTGTTAACAGGCCCTATTTGTCTGCAGTTAGTAAAACAAAGGTGACAGTAAGTATTCCAGGTGTTTTGATTTAGTGGAAGATCCTGCAACTTGGGGAAGCCTGGTACCATTTGCTTGAAGTCTAGACTTTTCTTTGAGGCTTTGTACCCTCAACTGATACAATCAATGTTTGACCTATTACTGTCTGACCAATATACTTGGGAGCAATCGCATATGCCTGGGGGATTTACATGAGAAAGAGGGTTTGCTCAGCACTTCCCAGGATCCACTGTCTTGCTGTGAGAGCAAATCTCATGTCTGGGGACTGCAGGAGTGGCTGGTGCATCCTCCAGAGATACTCAGCCCCACTGTTGAGCATGTGCCTCCAGGCATGTGAGGAGTAGACATGTTAAGAGCAGACTTTTGCCTCATTTCAGATGTAGAGATTCATAATACGTGGTCTGTCCTTATTGCAGGCTATGTGAGCTGCCCATGAGATACGGGCACTTTATGGACTTCAGGTAGGGATGGCAGTGGGAGTGATGTCTGATGCTTCCTAATGGTGTGGGCAAAGTTTTGACAGCTCTTTTCAGATTTGAAATCAAGATTTAGCCTGCCAAACCTGCCCTGTAATGTGGAGACAAGCCAGTAGCAATGGCTTATGATGAGGGGAGCTCTCTACCACGTGATTTGATAACAATTCTTACATCTAATTGGATTTGGTTTTACTAAGGGCTTGGGTTGTAAATCCAAGACATAATTCCCCCCTCTTAGTAAGGAAGAAATTCCCATGGTGAGATTCAAACCTCTGAAAAAATCAGTTCATGTCCTAAGGTTGCATTTTTAGTTGCCTGTTGAACCAACCGTGCATTTCAAAAAGCAAGACACATTTTTTCTCTTGTCAATAAACAAGGCCCTGTTTTTTGTGCAAAGGCTTGTATGGGCCAGTATTGGGATTGCTGTTTCGATTAATCACCTGAATAGCTGAAGAGTTTTCTGCATATGTCATCCAGCTGGTAAATGGATTTTAAGTCAGCACAGCATCTACATTTAATTATAACTGATGTAGAGACCTGGAATTTGCATGGAAAGATGAGATTTGGCAAAAAAAGAAAAAGTGAGATGCTGTCCCTTTGTGTAAGGGGAAAAAAAAAACAAAACAACATAAAAAGCCTGGGACTTAAATTAAATTCGTGCTTTGAAACAAAAGATAGGAGGTTTTTTTCAACTTATTTACATCAGAAGACAGAAACTAATATCTATATTTGTTGAAATCATACTTCCTCCCCACCCCCAGCTATGCTCAGGGGAAAAACTGTTACACAGACTCACAAAAGAATGGTTCTGTGTTTGCTGACATGGTCTGTTTGGGTGGATCAACAGCTTTCTTGTCATCAAAAGATACAGGCCTCTGTTATAAACACAAATGATTCCAGCAGATTCTCAAAACTATTAAGAAAGGGGTTAAATGGAAAATAAAGTACAAAAGTTTACAAATCTGAGGCACACTACGATATTTGTTCTTCTATGCTTTGAAGGTCTGAGAAGTTACTTTGCTCTCAAATGACTTTAACAGATTTTCTGTAGCGTAGTTCACAGGGTTTTTTTCCAGTTTTTCATCTTTCTGTAGATGTCTCCTGGATTTTTTTCTCTGATTCCTCATGACAGTATATAACAGGTTGCAGGAGGAACTGGTAAAAAATCAGTTTTCTCAATGTTGTGTTAGTGCTTTCTTTAAAACATAATTAGTCTAGATGTTGTTTTCTGAAAATATACATGAAAAAAATCAATTTTCAGAATTTGCTAGGCAACTGAGTGGCTCTCCATGAGTTCTGTGGCTCTGTTTTCACTCTTTCTTCAGCTCAGAAACAGATAACACAGATGCCATTCATCACAGTTACTCCATCCAGCACCAGGAAGCTCCTTTTCCCCGAGGAGGACATCCAGGATGTGTTACAGTCTGTGCCGCAGCTACCCAGCGTCTCCAGCGGAGAAGGGCAGCAGGCAATTCACACTATCTAAAAGAGAAAAACAGGGAAAATGGAAGTTTTTTTTAAGGGAAAAATATTTAAAGTTAACTTTTTGTGTCCTAAGGAATCCATTAATTGCATAAAGAGAAGCTTGGGGACTTTTAAGAGGAAGACTGTTACTGTCTTTCATTACATTTTAAAGTCAAATTGGTCCTGAGATACAATACAGGTTTCCTAGAAACTAGAGTTCCTTAAACTAATGCTTGTGGATGGATAAAGAAGTTTTTTGGTTGTTTTTTATTTTGGGGGGGGGTTTTGAGCTTACATATTTATTTATTTTTCTTTCAGGGAGATCAGCTCAAAGCTCCTTACTTCGTATCTAAACAGTGGGGCTCTTTCTTCATGGACAGAGTACCAGGCCTGGAAAACGCAGAGGAAACCTTAGTTCACACATGGTCCTGTAAATGTATTAGCACTTACAGCACTATTGCAATCCCTAGTCTTGAAGCAATAGCAGGTAAGGAAGATGGTGGGGTTTTTTTCCTAATGAACATGTAGTATTCATAGGAAATTGGTAATGCTGTAGATCTGATTTTGAGATTACATGTATCTAAAATACATTGGAAATACTTTGTTCATATCTTGCAACAGTGCAAATGGCCATTGATTACTTTGATGTTTGTGCTTTTAATTGTTGTCCAATACACGCAGTTTTTTTGTTTGTCTCTGTGAATATTAGATGTTTAATTTATGTCCTGTTAGGATGCAACATTTAACAGATGGTAGATGAGTTCCTGAACTTGGTCAGGATTTCCTCTGACCAAGTATCTTACTGTTTCTACTTTCAAGGGTGAATTAGATTAGGAAACAAACACATACAAAGTCACTTGAGGTTTTTATACTTCCAAATATGTTTCCCTCTAATCTGCCTTGTTATACTTCCTCAGTCAGCTCACTATAACTTTGCAACTGCCATACATGTCAGTGGATCATGAAGGGGTGGTAAAGACCCTCTATCTATATATCCTCTATCTATATATCCTTAGTCTGTCATTTTGCAGTACTGAATTTTGTCGATACCTGTACCTAAAGAGATAAACAAATTATTACATGAATGAGGTGCTTAGCTGTATGAAGAACACAGCAAGCATTTAGTTTACTAACCCCTCTGTTCAGCATCTGTTGCCTACTTCATGCATAAGACCAAGGAGTAAAAGGTTTGTTGCAAGAGAGCATTTCAGACTTGCCCAGCAATTATTTCTACAACAGGACACATGATAGACCTGTTCTTTGCAACCGTATTTTACACATGCACTTACATTGTAAGGATATCTCAAAACAGAGCAGCCATACAGAGTCACAATTTATTTATGCTTCTGATAATTTGCCATTTTGCAGTCTGTATTTCAGCCTAAAGGTACAAAGCCAAAATATACCGAGGGAAATTGGCATCAGAGGGATAACTTCTGTAAAACTCCCATCTAATACTTTTCCATGGCCATCCTGTGGCTTGCTTTGGAAGTGTTGGCCAAGATAAAACACATTGGTCAGTCACACTCTGAAACTCTGCCTCCTAACCAGCTCCCTGTAAACACAGCTCAGGTTGCAGGACTAGCAAGGGCTCTCAACCACAAATGTACCACCACCTTTCCAGCTACAGATGAAGGGGTGAGAACCACAAAGGCTTATCTGGGTAGTTAGTGAGTAGGATAGCTGCCTGTCATCGGCAGCTCTTGCAAAGCCTGTTCCTCCATTAGGAGGGACACTGGGTGCTGTCCGTCTCTGCGCTGAACCACTGCTGGGGCAGGGGCTGATGTCTGTGAAAGTTAAACCCCAGTGCTAAAGGACATGGGAGAAATAACGTTTTTAACTTGCAGCTGTGTGCTCGAAAGCAGACTCAAAGCTGCAGGTACAAGAACATTGCTGCTTTCTTACAGAGAGAGGTATTTCTTGTTTGTTTGTGTGGAAGAGCAGATGTTTGTTATTATGGATGCTGAGGAATTTCTGACTCCTCTTGAATACCTTGTCTGACTCCTGTCACAGCAAGCTGTGAAAGACCCTGCTTTGCCAAGCCCTGAAGTTTTTGGCTGCAGTTGTAAGTTCATAGCTTAGCTGCAGCTATTTGGGAATAGCTAGTTAGAAGAGATTGAAACAGGTTATGTGAGTTTGATGTGCTCCAGCTTTCACTTTTCTATTCATCGACTTTAATTGCCAGCAGAAGACTTTCCACTGCCAAGCTGCAAAAACGCAGGCCTTTCCTTAAGATTCCCTCAGCCCAAACATGCAGCCAGGCTGCTGGCATGCTGGCCATGCAAGTCCAGCTCCCAGTCACCCACGTGCTGGCCATGCAAGTCCAGCTCCTAGTTATCTGCATGCTGGCCATATGAGCCCAGCTCCCAACCAGTGGTGCGCTGACGGCAAGCTCAGCTCCAGGCCAGCAGTCGGCTCAGCCTTGGCAGCACCTGCCTCAACCTGACCCCGCCAAACAAGCTGCCATCTCACTGGAGATGTGCTGCAGCCTCCTATGAGCTGGGGTTTGACCAGAGCTTCTCTATCAGCAATGTCTGACCTGGCTTTTGTACATCTATGTGAGCAAGTGTAAGAGCCACATACAAGTAAGTATCCCAACAGTTTGCGATCCGCAAAAATATTTGGTGAAATGCAGACAGTTGCTGCAGTGGTAACTTCAAAATTGGTTCTTGTTGTTTGGGTGCAACATGTATCTTGTTCATAAAGAATAACTTGGTTTACTTCTCAAGGCACATTTTTCATTAAAAAAGATTATTCCAAAAAGTATTCAACATTATTGAATACTAGCAATGTTTTACAAAAATAACTCAGTTTTCATCAAAATTCATATGAGAATTCAGAGAGTTATCAGAAATTAATTTTGGGTAATAAAGCCCTTCACGCCTGTTTCCCTCTTTTTTAAAGAGAGGAAATATGCAAAAAAATAAAAATAAGCTATAGATCTGAATTGAGAAATTGGGATATAAGAAACTTTGACCATCCTGTTTTTTCAGCAGCATGTTGTAAGTTTGTTGTAACTAAAGTGTACAATCTCAATGTTACCAAAGGGCATTGTAGAAAAGAGTATTATAAGGAATGCTGCTGCTGGCGTTCTTGTCCATTCAAAGTATAAAATAACAAAGCATGTACACAAATTGGAAATTCAGTATCTGACTAAAAAGGGGGTTGCATTCAAAGATGCATCAGAAATGCTGAACTTATTCTCACCTTCTCAAGGAAGTATTAGTGGGATTACATATTACTGCATCACAGTTAGTCATCTAAACTCCCTTGAGAGTCCCTGGAGAGAAAGAAATTGGCATTTTCCTTGTGCATGAGAAAGTGTATTTTGCTTATTGGTAAAATTGCCCAAAGGAGATCTTCTGTGTGTATTTCTCAGTTTAGGGTCCAAATCAGATACAGGCTATATTGACAGTACATGGTTAATAAAATAGTAGAAACCAATGCCCCTACTCCTATTCTACGTCTCATTCACAAATCCATCTGTTTCTCCACTTTTCTGCTATTGAATCTCTCCTCATTTACAGCTCCCTTACAGATTTTGACCATTTTCAAGCACAATGATATCATAAGACAGATTTTCCATACCAGGATCCATTACTGTGGGAATGTTACATTAGAGTTCCCACAGGAAAATTAAAAGGTGTAAGGGTCTCTCTGAAAACAGCATTTTGCATAAACCACAGTTTCTAAGATGTCCTTCTCCACTTCAGAAAGTTAGGTATGAGCCAAGTAGAGGTGGATTGTTCTTTTTTATCCTACTTGAATAATCTGAACTTTAACTTCAAGGAAGGTGTCCACTACTCTTTGATCGTTTGATCAAATTTCCAGATACTCATAATAAAACCCAACAATAATTTCAATAATTTCAAAAGTACCATTTCAGATGGTTATTTGATTAACAGTTCTTCAATACCAAAAATGATACGCATATTTCAAGTTAATGCTTTCCCTTTTGATCTCATTACCGTGGGTAGTTTTATAAAAGTCCCACTTCAAAAAATTGCAAGAGGAGTTTTAGAGCTTAGAGGGAATTTTGGAAGGTTTTTTTTGTTCTTCATTGCAAAGAAAAGCTAAAGAAAGTGAGCTCTAAATCCTAATAAGAAAAACGCAAAAAACTTTTTTTTTTTAATTTCATGATTGTTAACCTAATCTCCTGAACTTGTCTCATAACCACTGAATGATGAGGTTTGTTATAGGATTAAAAATTACCGCAAGCAAGAATACAAGATTGAGTGATGTTGCGGCTCAAGAGAGTTTCATTTCAGATAAGAATTAGTGCAAATAAAATGTAAAATGTTTTATGGAGGCAGAGTTCATTTCACACTTTGGAGGTTTGATAATCAAGCTTGTGTCATGCATGAGGATAATACATTTTTTTAAATCTTGCACGCCATATGAAATCTTATCAGGGTTTCCCATATGGTTGCAAAAGTTTTTCTTCATGCATTATTGTTATTTCAGTTAGCTAGAACAAGAGAAAAATCTCCATTATAATTTATCAAATCTGTCTCTTTAAAGATGCCTGCACCCTGCCACTTTCTGCAGGAGTTTGAGTCATCATCCTGCTTGCTGTATAAAAATAATGATAAAATTGCCAGTGAACCATGACAAAGAAGTTCATGTTTCTGCTTAGAGTTGCAAATTATCTGCACAATGGAAAGCCCAAGGCAGACGTGGCTGGGGCTCCAGAACTGGCAGTGTGTGGGTTGCAAATACACAGGTCTGCCCATCACAGATCAACTATGAATTGCAAACTTCACACACCATCTTCTATATGTATTTTAAAGGTGGATGCCCTTAAGGAATCAACTATTACCACAGAAATCATGAACTTCACTAAGCATGTAGCCATATACTCATTTCTATATCCTGAACAGCATCATTCATAATTGTTGCTGAGGTAAAACCAAAAACTCCCCCATATTTTAACACATAAGTTCTATGTTTTTTTCATTGACATTACATCATTCAAGGTCAAATCCAGCTCCTATTAAAATTAAATTGGTCTGTCCTGTAACTAGATTGATAATTATGTACTCTTATTCAAATAATACAATAATTTCTTTAAACATATAGAACTATATATATTATACATTGCTAATTAGAAGTAACCTTTAATGCCTTTTCTTACAACCGTGCTTTTACTTACCAGTGTAAGAATGTATCTATACAATAACATCTAAAGATTAAGTTTATCAAAATGCTTTGGGAATTTAAACTGCTTTGGGTCTTAGCTGCTATAAATAATAGCTGCTACTACAAGGCCAAAGAAGTCATTTTTATAATTAAACCTTTTATTTAAAAAACATATTTTTATGTCTGGTGAAAAATTGGTGTATATACACAACAGCAACGTTTCTGGGGTTTTCTGGTTCGGAGCTTTCATGCAAGGAAAAAAAACAGATAAAGATAACTGACTAGGGAGAAGATACATGTTCTGTATATATGAACAGCATCTTGCTTTATATGTCAGTTGAGAGGCATCAGATAATGTAAATCAGATTCATCTGTTCCAGGAAACTAGATTCAATGTTCTTCTTTTAAGAGAAAGAAAAACATGTCCAACACAACCAACAAATATAAGCTGCAAAATACAACTGAAACCAACAACAAGCTACATTTTAACCATAACAAATTATTGTTCAATAAATCAGAATTATCTTCTAAGAAGTCTTCAGGACCCAGCTATTGCCCTGAGGGTTTGAGACCCCAACTTTACTACAGGATTTGACTACTTGATAGTAATTTTCTGTGTAGAAAGGACAGTATTCAGTGTATTACAATTTGTTCAGCCTTTCCTTCTTCCAGAAAGGTGTATTGACTTGTGCCCCTGAAGGCCATGTCAAATCATGCAGAACCCAAAAGATTACTTCCTTGCCAATAGCTGAGAGAAATGTTCCTGCCATCATTATCCGGCTCTGTGAGATGTCAAAGTACAGCCACCTCTAAAAGATTAAAGGGAGAACTCATGAGCAACTCATTAAGAAAGGGAGAACCACTCAGTCATTTCTGCTTTAAAGCTATCCTTCAACTCAGGCAGCATAATTTCATTTGCAGGCTGTAATTAAAGCTATAATTGGGTTTTGACTGGATTGCAGGCTTATGGGGTGGGTTTAGATTGCTGCTTTAAAAAACCTGGTTGTAATACAAAGTTTGATAATTTTTCAGTGTGAAAACAGTGGAAATAGGTAAGTCAGAAAGTATTGGAAATAATACTTTGACCAGGTTGAAATTTTACATAATCTGCAACCTCTCATGTGCAAGAAAAAGCATTTATGTACTCTGGATTGGTGCCTAATATGCCCTCTGGATTAAGATGGTAATACACATACAAAAAAACAACGTAGGCCTCATCTTCATGTGTGTCTGTGTGTGGATTTTTGCTTTAAGGTAAACAATGTTTGTCACCCATCCAGAGGAAAAATCATGGAAAGGGAAAGAAAACATTTGTTTTACAAGAACATGATGAGGTTAACCCAAATTTGGAGAGGAAGGTTGATCTCGGTGAGTTTACCTCAAAATGAAAGTAAAGGGGTATATCATCTCTGCATTTGTCTTAATATAGCTCCTTCACAGTCTCAAAATGCAACTTATTTCTTTTCTTACCAGTCAGAAATGCCTGTCAGCTCAAACCATTGCTTGTTTCCAGGCTAAGTTCTTTGATTTACCTCAAAAGCCCTTTCTACTGCCCTAAGATCCAGATGGAGTCATTCACATAGAAATGAATTAACAGATCCCTGAAAGAGTAGCACTTCCTAGTAGGATCTTTGCATTCCCTTAGGATTTTTTTAGATTAAGACTTCATCTAAATATTTAAAAATATCATAGTCTGATATTTTCTTGTGATCAGTTCCAGATCAAGCAAAGAACCACAAAGGGCTATTTTCTTAAAAGATCTCTAAAAGTCACCATTTAAACTAAAACAAAAATGAGATAAATTTTCCTGCCATACACATAATGAGTTTTCTCATTTAACCCAAAACAGCAAAGGCATTTCTAAGGCTTTCCTTCACTTCAGACTCTTACCAGGCTCAGCTGTGAGTTCAGTGCACGCCTTGTGCACAGCTGTTTTGTTCAAGAGGGGTTAGCAATCTCTTGGACATAGGGTAGACCCAAAGTAATGTGAATTGTTATTCCCAAGATAATGGTAGTGAAACTGCACACCATGAGCAATCACAACAGCCACGATGGGATGGTCATTCCATCCCCCCCGGCACCCATCCCTCTGTAAAACTCTGGTGGTGAAGGTGCTGCTGCTGCACATCTGCCTGCAGTTTGCCACTTGGGTTTTCTCCAATGTCACTGTCTTTTTTGTTAGATACCACAGAAGAGTAACCAGCGATAAAACCTCAGTGGCAGTGAAGCTCTTGCTCAGGCCAAGCTCATGCCACATATGTCTGCTGGCAGTGCCACAGGCATGATCTCTGACCAATACACCTGTGTTGGCAAAAGCTCTTATTTAAGTGCAATTAAAGCAGCAAACCTGCCCTTTGACTTAGTCTGGTTTTAATCTTTATTCATGCATGTCTGGGAATAAACTGCAGTGGTTCACATTGCCAACTATATCTAAACTCAGAACCTTTCTCCTATAGAGTGTATATATAGAGAGTTCCTATACTGAAGAGTCCTCCCTTTCCCATACGACACCGCACGGATACCCTCCTCCTCTCCAACTTTTGAGTCATAGAATATGCAGACAGCAGCAATTACTTTCATGTTAGTGACAGAAGGAAAGCTTCCCTTGTGCTGACTTCACTCTTTCAGGAGCTTTGTTTTAGTACAGCAAACATCTGACCTCCTGTTTAGGAAAATCAGCCTTAGAAATTTTTCTAAAAATAACTGCTATCAGATAAGTCTACTTGTAACCTTGCTTTTTTTTCTTTTTGCCATTAGTATGCTCCCTCACATCCTGAGCTTTTAGTGCAAGCACTACTTTGCCTGTTATAAAATAGAATGGCTCAGGAGATAAAAACATTTAATATTTAAGAAAAAATAGTGCCTTTTACAATTTACCTGCAGACTGGCAAGTCAGATCACTCGATGGCACATCCAAACTGATGGATTCCCCTGCAGAAGTTGTTCTTACCCCACTGTTAAAAAATTGTTATTAGAAGTTGTTATCATTAAGAAATAAATATTTGCTTTCAACAGCAACTTTGAAGTGCAGTAAAATACTTATGATAAAGTTTCTGAGTCAGTGTAAATTACGGAAAATCCTGTAAAAGCAAAAGAATTTATACTGGCTGATGGTCTGCCCCTACAGTTTACACCATCTGGATGATGAGATGGATGTAAGACAGAGCTTTGACTCTGGTTTTTGAGATTTGATACAATTAAGCAGTTGAAAGAATTTTTTCAAACTTGGGTATCACTAACAAGGTTTTCATTTTCCTCCCTGGGTCTTTTTCTTGTTGATAATCAGGAGCATATATTTGGATTCACTTAAGAACACAACTCTGCTGTTTATTAGGCGGCTTTTGCAGCATCTGGCTTCAGCCCTGCTGACTGGCAGGGAACAGACCTCAGAGAGGGGAGGGGAGTTCAGCTTTCTGTAGAGCTTCTCACTCGTCATGGAGATGCTGCTGTGGTGTCACGATATAAAAATGTTGGCTTTGCTTTTGTTGGTCAATACTGAAAAATGATTCCTGACATTTCTGCTGTGTATTTTGGGAGAAATCCATTTCAGTCTTGGACTGTGCTTTTAATTGAAAAAAAATGCCTTCCATCTAAAGCACTTAGTTAAGATTTCATTTGTTTAGTGTATTGGTTTGTTAAAAAAAAAAATCTCAAAAAAACCCAAATGAATCCCAAACAAAACAAAAAAAAAATCCACCACACGGATTAGCCAAGAGTATTAAGTTTATTGACCAGGCCTGTGTCTGGATTAGATTATAATTGTCTTCCATTCAGTTTCTCAAATATTTTCCTGATCACTCATCGAGAATATTACGTTTTTCCTTTCTCGTGTGGTTTCTTTTCCTTCCTTGTGGGTGGAACTCCAAGTCTTCCTCTGATAAAAGCTTGTGGCTTTCATTTAGTTGGCTTACACTAATTGCACAGACACTGAGGTATTGTCAGCTTTGTAACTATGATATAAATCCATCCGTAACACCTAAGTATATGCATGGATATGGGTATACATAAGCATCAGAACATAATGTTGTAATTAATGTGACTTAATACCTGGTTCTGGATAACTGGAACACAGTAAGTGACAGTGGTTACTGTTTAAATATCATCACTGTTATTTTGTTTACACCAGGGCTGCTGGAGTCCTATAAAGGAGGTAGGACAGGGCAGGAGTTCTGCTTCTGAGCTGAGGCTAAGGCATATAACCTGGGAGAGTTGCCCAAGCCACTGGGAAATGCTAGTAACACTGAATGATCACTGTAAAGGAAACCAGTTTTCATCACTCACTTGCACTCAGGCTGATGTGGGAGCAAAGAAAGGAATGGGACAGAAATGTAGGGTTATGCATCTAATAACTGGCATTTCTGGCAGATCTAGAAAGGGACCTTGAGACCCTCCATGTCTGACTTCTAGGAGTCTTTGGCTCTAAAAGAGAATATCCTATTTGTCTTGGAAAAAAATTAATTTGGGTGGAATTACCTAAGAATGATAGAAAAACTCTGGGACTGTGATTCTGAAGCAATTGGGTACAGCCAGATAGTTCATTCTTCCAGCCTCAAGCTGTTTAGTTTGTTTAAGTTTGTTTGTTTTCTTTTTTTTTATGATAATGGAAATATTGGATGAATTCATTATCAGTGTAGGTTAGGACTGATTAGAGCCTCACTGTCAAATTATATCTCAGAGAGGACTAGTTGTCTGCCCCCTGCCTAATTTATGACTCTTCATCAGGGTTAGATGAGAAATGGATGCCAAGATGCAAAGGTCTGCCACAACAGCAGCAGCTGTGAGCACGCATAGCAGCAAAACCTGAAGAATTTACTGGCAAAAACACTAGGAAAACAACAACTTGGAAATAAGAAACTATTCTTTTCCTGAGACTAGCTTTATTATCAAATATTGTGTCATATTTTTTGCATGCTTTTGCATCAAGCCATGGTGTGTGCAAGCATTTCATTTTAGCAAAATGGAGCTCATAGAATTATAGAATATCCTGAGTTGGAAGGGACCCATTATGATCATCATGTCCAGCTCCTGGCCATGCACAGGACAGCTCCAAGAGTCAGAAAATGTGCCTGAGAGCATTGTCCAAACAATTCTTGAACTCTGTCAGCTTTGATGCAGTGATCACTTCCCTGAGGCCCTGCTACAGTGCTCAACCACCCTCTGGGTAAAGTATCTATTTCTAATATCCAATCTAAAGTTCTCCTGACACACCTTCATACCATTCCATCAGGTCCTATCTCTGGTCACAAGAGTGAAGAGATTGATGCCTGGCCCTCCACTTACCCTCACAAGGAAGTTGTAGACTGCAGTGAGGTCTCCCCTCAGTCTTCTCCAGGCAGAACAGACCAAGTGACATCAGCCACTCCTCGTATGGCTTCCCCTAAAGCTGCTTATTTCTCATCTGTATCATCAGTGATAACATGGAATAAGAATAGACATAAAATTAATTGCTTGTATGTGCAGGAGACAGACTCCAGACCTGTATTGTTGTTCTTTGTTGATGAGCCAGTATTGCTGGACCTAGTGATACCATTGCCTTTTACGTAAGAAGAAGCTGTATTGAGCTTTGTTGTACAATTCACATAATACTTCTTCGATCTAGGGCAGCTGTGATTTATTTTAAATTGAAGAGTTTTCAAAGAACTTATTTTAAATTTTGCAATTAAAAAAATCTATCTTTATTTCCCTGTATACTTGCCCCTCTTTCTTGCTGTGTATTTATTTATAGCCACTAAGATTCCAAGTATGCCTTTCTGGATCAGGCCAGAGCTTTCTCATAAATATATCAAACTGAAATCAAACACTAATATATAAAAGGTTACATATTCTAGGCAAAGCAGACACAACAGATGCAGGATGTAAAATCACTGATGGAAACAAATTTGAAATACAGGAAGCTTTTTCCTATGTGATACATAAAATCTGCTTCATAGGTGAAGAATAGTATGTGTCTCATGCTTCATGCAACTTTTAGTGATGCCTTGGGCAACATTTTTAAATATGTATATCTTCTGGTCATCTTTCAAAGTCAGCTTGCTGAGACAAAAGCAATATTTAAATTAATAGAATTGGGGGGTGAATATGTAAATATGTGATTATTCTCTCTTGAAGTCTTGAGCATTGCATATAGAATGGTTTTGGTGTTTAAGCTGATTGTGTAAAGCTAGTTTACCAGGAAATATCAATAAAATTACCATTTTGATTCAACTGGTTCTTTTCTTCAGCAATAATCAACTCTGCAGCAAGTCTGCCCCATTTGTGTTGCTCTTTGATTAAACTACTCTTGGGAGACTCCAGACTGCTAGACTAAAAAGCTAGTAAAAGATTTTATATAAAAGTAGCTGTATGGCATTTGATTTTTATAGCTTATAAAGATATTCAGAAATATTTGCTTTCCTTTTTGTTATTATTTGTTATTTTTGAAACCTTTATTTTAAACAGAGCTGTCATAAATAGACTCAGCAGCCTGTAAATCCATTGGGCCCTCTGCACGATAAAAAAACATCTGCCTGTTCTTCCATGCTGAGAACGAACTCCAGAGATTTCCTGACTTGGACAAAATGAGAAAATACACTTCTTTGAGCTAAAATAACCCACTTGATAAAGCATAATTCTCTTCCAATCAAGTTACCTCCTATTCCTACTTTATTCCAGCCTATCTCTGATTTTTCAGCTTGATCTAAATACTCATTTGCTTACTATACTTATGTTTAATATGGTTTCTCTATACCTGTATGCTGTACTGGTGCTTGCCTGGGAATCGCTTTTGAGACAGAACTGGATTTCCTGTTGTTTGTGCCAGAACTGCTAAAATTATGTTTTTCTGTTTCATAAAACTTGCTGAGTGGAAAAAAAAACCCATAGCATATAGTGACAGGATATCATCTATCCAGAGTCACTCCAAATTAAAAAAAAAAAAAAAAGTTGTAATTAGTAACTTACTATCCAGATGAGCTGAGTAATAGTTTTTGTGTTTTGCTTTGGTTCTGAGCAGGCAACCTGGAAAGGAGCTAACCCTTTTTTGTTGGGTTTTATGTAATTTTTTTTTCATTTATTGTGAAGGTAATTGTTTCTTGAATGAGGTTTTATTTATGTGTTTTTTTAATTTGGTTTCTTGAACTTTGAGAGGTGAGAACGGGAAGTATCTGTTTTCTGGCTGTGAGGGTGGGCGGATCACTGCTGGCAGCAAAGACTTTTTTTAAAAAGCTACAGAAAAGAAAGCTTCTACTGTTCAGAACTATTTTAATGCATTCAGCATTCTTTACAGACTGGAAGTGATGAGTACACCAAGTTACAAGTGCAGATTTCTAAGAGGGCTTGATACAAAATTATGTTGTTAACACTGGATTGTGAGAAGGTCTAAGAGTGGGTGCCTTTGGAGAATCTTGCTTTAAAAGCTATGAAAAACAAAAAAGAGGAACTGATTCTTTGTTTTAAACATAGCCCTCTTATGAGTAGATTGCTGAGATAAAAGAGAAAGGTGACAAAGTGAAGAATGGACTTAAAGGTGTACGTGGGGGAAAATTCTATCTAGGCTCAATGAAGATTTTTGATTAGTATTTAAGCATTAGATTAAATTATTTTATCTGATTAGCATTATTTCAGCAATCAAGGAACCAAATATGCTTTACTGCAGTTGAAACTCTGAAAGTCAATCCCCTGGACAGCTGAAGACATCAAATAAATGTGTAATCATGTACTCTGATTGAATTCTAATGCTGGTGAGCAAACAGCTCAAGGTTTTAAGAAGTACTGCTATTCACCACAGGCTTTTTTTTTTATGTGACACAGTCTGTGCTGCTAATCAGATGTGGTATGTTTCTGTCTTGCAGATTTACCCCTGGATTATAGATTTACACGATTTTCCTCAAATAGCTCTGCAACTGCCGGGTACTATCCAAGCCCTCCAAGAGCACTGCTGCCAAATGAGGAGTCAGTGACTATGAAATAGGTTGTTGGCTTTTTCCTTAAATAACCCTGTGGCCCTTACTTAAACTGCTGTCAAATGCTAATTGGTGAAAATGCTGTGTGATGCTTCATAAAATAGAGTGGTGGATTAAAGCAGATTCCTGTGTAGACTTGTGTTTCACTTTTTTCTCTAGTTCAGCTGGAACAGATAAGCAATGCATTCTTCTCTTTAAATCTTCGAACCACCACTACCTTTTGCAAAGTGCTATTGGCTGTTGGCTTTTTTCATGCACTGCCCACAGCCTTCAAGAGAAATGTAGTAGTACTAGCTCATGCCAAGTTACATTCTACATTTTTGAGGACATTTTAGGTACTATCCCTAGGTAAGGTGATGCTGTTGCTACCATAAACCCCAGGAAAGACACAAACCAGACCCTCAGCCATATTTCATGAAGAGTTATCTTGTAAGTAATATGCAACATTTCCAAATTAACATTAAGCATTGATTTATTGAAAGGGAAACATAAAGCAAATTGGAACAAAATTGATAAAAACTTTTCTTTAAAACAAGGTGGATGAGGAATGAAAATTAAAGTGCCATTCTCCTCCTCACAAACTTTGGGCTGAAAATATTTGACTTAAGATGGTAACAGTTAGTAATACTTGACTTTATTTTGAAATTTTTTAATTAGCATCAATGTCTTTGGCACCAAATCTGACTCATGATAGGGATATGATTTGTATTAAGCAGAGAGATACCTAGATTGAAATCTCAGATCTCTGATTACATCATCATTGAAATTCTAACCTGAATCAAGTAATCCTCTGCAAATAATTTCTAACTAGGTTATGGTGCAAACCAATATTGTGTACCCTCACACTTTTGTGGTTCTGAATTTAGAACTGACTTTTCTAGGTTGGGGATTTTTTCCTTTTTTTTTTTTTAAAGAAAACTCATTGAGTTTTTAAAGAAAATTAGAGTGAAAATCGTCTAAGTAAGTCCTTGGGTCCTGGTGTCTCAGTGGAGAAACAATATTTTTTTTAATGGGCAGATGGCAGATTCTAAGACTGAACACAAAGCTCATCATAAGAATTACATATACCTATCTTTGACAAAGGCTGTCACCAGCCATTTGCGCTTACTGCCAGAAGGACATCAGAGTAGCAGAGAAACAAAAAGATAACAGAAAGGTACTGTAAGCATTACACCATGTGCCACCATAGTCTGTGACTGCAGGAAGACTTGGGAAAAATAACTGAAGTCATTGCCCAAAAAATAAAGTTCCTCTTGCTGAAGACTCTTCTCTTTAAAAACCTGTGAAAATTACACATCTTATTACAAAGCAGAGATTGGCAATGGAGGAATGAGGAGGGCAGTTGGTGGTGTGGCAACAGGAGAGCCATTAGAAATGGAGGTGGTGTGAAGAGCCAGGGAGAAGAAATGCACATGGCAGAAAATTGGTGGAGATCTATCCATATTTAACATGACACTCTAAAGACACCATCTTTGCTTTTTCCTTATTTCTCATTTGTTTTTGTTTTAACCCCTGGAAATCCCTGGAATTTCTTGGCTTCTCTTATGAGAGGCCATTGACAGAAAGGTTGCTGAAATGCCTGCAAAACTATCTTGAGCATCAGCAGGGAGACAAAGTTGTAAAGATTCATTAAAATCACTGTGTCTGGTTAGACAGCCCTGAAAGCCACAGTTTTGCTTAAAACCAGAGATGAATACCAAGTCTCTTTTGGTGTCTGTTTTGGTATAAAGCACATGTGTCTGAATTTTAAAATAAAGAGAATTTATTTCTGAAAAAATATATGTCCTCTGAATTTACTTTATAGCTGAGCAGCAAAAAGAAAAAAGGGAGACAAGGGTTGTCTCTAAGCAGTGCAAGGAGACGTTTGTGCTACAGCCTTGAACAAAGCAAAACTTGACTCACTCAGAATAAGATACATAAATCAACCCAAAACTTTAATAAATTAATGCCTTTAATACCTATAGGGAAGTGATCTTTGATGCAAAGCAAAGTTCACTGCAAGTGTTTCCTGAATAGGGCTTCTTCCTGGGAACTAAAGGCTTCTTCATCACCAATGAGTAGAAGTTAAATAAACAAACATGGGTAGATTATCCATGGCAGACACCAGGCTCTGCTGGACACGGAGTTTTCTGAGACTGCTGCTTCCCCAGGGTGATGGGGCTCTCCAGCTCCTCTGAGTCCCGGGTCTGTGATAGTACAGTAGCACTGGAGCAATTCTTAAGGAAATTCCCAGGAAAATTTAGTGACAGACACTGGGAATTAGCATTCCTCAAACTGGTTTAAGTCCTTCTCTCTGAGGCCAAGTATACATTAAATCATACCAAGGTAAACAACGGAAAAGCCTCAAGAATATGTAAATTAATAGAGATGCCAACAGTGGGAAGGCAGCATTGAGCTTCCATGTCAACTCTGTTTTTCCACCACGGGGAAGAAAAATGCCATAAGTGTCAAACACCCTTTTGTACACAACCTTGATGTTTTACTGTACGGTTTCTCAGAAAGTCAGGTTTAGAAATAAGGTCACTTCTGTGCAAGAAGATAAAAGTCTCATACACTGCACCATACAGTGAGGGGTCTGATGGGAAGATGTTGCTTCTGACCTCCCAGGGAAGGGGGCATTGCATGGGGCTTGCTGCTCCTTAGCACCATGAAAGAAGCAAGATAAGTTTTCTGGTGCATTAAAATGACTGACTTTTAAAACAAAATATACCTATTTCTGTACACATGCTTGGAAGCAAATAGCATTTCAGCTGATGCATAACATCAGATTTAGGAGGGAAAGCACATGGTTTAGCTACAGGAACCTTACCTCTGCAAAGAGTGCCAGCTGTAATGGCATAATCACCACAATGGCATAGCCACAGACATCTATTGTTAACAATTAGCCACAAAGCAGCCCTTCCAGCAAGCACATAGTCAATCCAGATCACCCCAGGGGAAAAGCTCAATCCCATCATAAATCCAGTTGCCTGTAATTTTGTTTTCTGCAATTCTAAGTAACTGGAACATCAAACCCCCTTGGTGAGTCACAGGAGAGAAAAAAAAATTAAAACGAGGTTTTCTTCTGAATGTTTTCGATGCAAGAAACAAATACTGTTTTTCCGTAAGCATTATAAATAGAAATGCTTAACTGGAAAAGAGAGCCTGGATTAGGGCCAAAATAAGATGGAATCCAGGAAGTTAAACAGACTCAGAGATTTCCAGCTCTAAAAGCCTGCTAGCATCTTCAAAGGGCAAACTGGGAATTCCTATCTACCGGTCAATGAACTAGTACTGTGGCCAGCATGCCCAAACATTTTCTTGAATATGGGACAAAAGTGTAAGACAAATCTTTTCAGAGTGAAGTGGGTACCCACAGCAGTTCTCTGGCAAGCATGGCAAGACCACAGAGGTTTTGCAGCTGGCCACATGTCACAGTTCACAGAAGGGCAAACATCCGAAGCATCGCATTTAACTTCTGCCCCACTGCACCTAAACTGATTTAATCAGAACTGTGCTAAAAATCCCTCACGCTTCCCACTCGCGCTGCTGCAGCACATATGTAGCTCTCTCACACATGGCCATAACGACTTTTAAATACTTGCATGGGGGTGAGAAACCATCACAGCCACTTCAAAACCATGTTATGGCTTCCAGCCCCTCCTGCAAATTAGAGGTTGCAAGACCCAAAATGGCAGCAGCACAAATGGAATAGCAGTCTGCACAGCACACACCACAGCTCCAATGGCCGAGACGAAGCAGATTCTGCCAGCTAGAAAGGTATTTCTATTTTCCATTTACTACTAAATGTTGAGTAAAAATACACAGTCCATTTGATTCCCTCTTACAAGGTTGAAGACTACGTTCCTTTTAAGAGTGAAGAAAACCATAAACCATCTTACATTGTATACAGGAGGGAAAAATTAGATGTTCTTGTCCAAAATTTATGAGAGAAGTAGTTTCAGGGTGTATTTTAGGAAAAGAAGTCCATTAACTTTCAATAGACCTTGTTCTGTCACAGCACTAAAGGAAGTCTAAGAATTGTGACTCTGTGTGCCTAATAGCTTTACATTAAAAGATTAAATTTCCAAAGCCTCCACCATCTCTGAGGAATAAAAGTACAGGTGAATATAACAACTCTTCTCTTGCCTTATCTCAAAATAATACCAGAGAGTTGCAGTATTCTTACTACATCATCCCCTGTAACCCCATCCCACACTGAGAAATTAAATGTGCGCTCCCAGGTGCTAAGAAGCCTGTAAAGTATATTAATCCAAAGAAGATGCCCTTGTAGATATTGTGAAAAGAAATGGGATGTTATGAAATTAAGAGATAAAAAAATTCTTTATCTTATACTGACAGAGGCCTCAAAAATATCTACTGAAGGGCTGCTGTTGAAGCAGCTGCAGCAGTGTTGGAGATGGCAGCAGTGAACTTCTATCCTTGTTTTTTCCCTCAATGCTGCCCAGAAAAAAGGGCATGAATGCCCACATACATATATACATATATATATATATACATATATACACATATATACATATATGTATACATGAACAAGCAGCAATTAAAGGCTAGGATCCCATGACATGGAAACCCAGAGACTAATGGAATTATGAAATTATCTGCATTTCACGGGAGGTGTGGAGTTTTAGGTCAATTAAATAAACTAAGCACCTGGTGGTCTAGTGGTTAGGGTGCAGGACTCTCACCGCTGCGACCCGGGTTCGATTCCCAGCCCCCCGGGCAGATGGAACTCGTCAGCCTTGTAAGGCAATCCATCTAAGAGAAGGTCACTGTAAACAAACCTACGTTCTGAGACCCTCACTGCCACTGTCCAAGCTTGCTTGGCCCCGGCAGATGAACCTCAGGATTAAAGGGTGGGCTCAGTTCAGCGCACGCTGGGTCTCACCTAAAAAATCCACTGCGCAGGCTCGAAGGGTTAATGACCTTTCCCAAATCTTCGCTCGCGATGACTGGCCATTATTATAAATAAACTAAGCACTCTCAGGCAGTAAGGAGGGAAATCTCTAGATCAGTAGTAGACAGGTGATGGAAAATGGAGTATAGATGAAGCTCAAGGACAAAAAGGCCAAGGGTCAGCATGAGCTGACAATAGTTCAACAGGGCAATAGATGGCTAGAGGATATCAGGGAATGGAGTTTCTCACAGAGTCACAGAATATGCCAACTTGGAAGGGACCCACAAGGATCATGAAGTCCAACTCCTAGCCCTGCACAGGACCATCCCCAAGAGTCACTCCGTGTTCCTATACATCACAGAAAATAATAATTTTAAAAAAATATTGTGTGGGATTTTCCTCTTTCCCATGTTATTGTGCAGGACTTGGAGATACCTGGTACATTACTGATATTAATTCATTAAAAAAATGAGAAAAAAAATGTAACCAAAAGACAGTTACATTAATTTAAGAAAATAAACTTATTAACTATTAATATGACCATTATTAGATAGATATTCTAAAATGTAGCTTTAAAAGTATTTGTATGTGCATATACATATGTGTGTACACATTTAGAAATTACTGCTGTGCAGAGTACACTGCCAGTGATTCAACCAGTACAATACACCTAACAACCAGTTATGATGTAGACTAGTGCAACAACCTCCTGAAGACCCTAAAACTAAGCACGATGATGGAGCTGTCTTTAGGGAATATGTTCGACTACATCAAGAGCCACCAGTTGCTGAAGCCATTGCTTCAGAATCAAGTGCAAAGAACTGATTGCTACAGTACACTCCAGTGAAGCATAGGTAAGTATTACTTTTAAGTGGAAATTAATTTTTGATGCCTTGGTTTGTGTTTGATTTAATGTCTCACCCTTGAGACTTGGCTGCAACCAGGATGCAGCAAATCAGATGAGACGTTTACAAAGAGAAATTGAGAGTCAGAGACAAGTTCAAATACAGTCTCTAAGACACACCTCTTTCCTTAAATGTCTCTAGTGTAAGGAAAAGGAAAGAGACATGGGACTATGAAACAAAAGAATTGGGGTGGGGATAAGTAAGAAACTTGTAAAAATTTTCTTGAATTCCAGCAGTTGCTTAGTTCTACTTGGCATTCCACATATCAAGTGACTCCATAAAATAGGTGGATTCTAGCCTTAAAAATGCCTTTCATTGAAAACAGCATGTTACAAATGGGAAACATTATTGCAACATATCTGATATCCAAAAAGGGACATTGTGGCAGTCAGCTCTAAGAAAGCACTGATGAAGTCCGGCTTTGGAAGGTTCCTCCGGGTATGAGCATTAATGTTTTGTGCTCCACAGGGAATACTGCTTGGGTTTTAACATCGCAGAAATTTGGAAGGAAAGAAGTTGACAAAGATCATACATATTGAGAAAGGTCACGCATTTGAAAACATAAAGTAACAACCAATTCAACTGAGTGAAAAGCCACATGCTGCTGGAGAGGTTACCCCTCTCCAATCTGTTCTGATCATCATCAGAGAAAAGAAGGGGTACGTGCTAAAGAAGGAACAGGCCAGTCAGGCAACCTGACAGCCACTAGAAGATAAACCTACACCCAGTGTATGTCTGCAGCAATGTAAAAGCAGTAGCGTGGATTCTGATGTTAAAAGGCACAGAACAGATGACGCAAGTAATTTTATATTGGATCCAGGTATTTTTTGTTATTTCACAGTTAAGTGCGTATGTACCTGCTTTATGGTTGCTGTCTTCCTGGCATGCTGTCCTGCATGTCTCAGGACCATGAATCAGTCTCCATTCACCAATGTTTTGCCTCATTACTGATGCTGCAGCTTCCCATTTCTTAAG